GTTCTCCCTTACTCCTAAGGTCCCTGGTTGATTTTTTTTTAAGAAACACTCAAAAATAGCTTATTAGAAACTGTGTGTGTCAGATTATCAAATTATATTGACACAATGATTTTTAAGTTCTTTCCAATTCCAGAGTATGGTTTATAGGTTAATTTACTTATATTCTTAACTCCAGGCATTGATTTAAGAAACAGACCAACACTTTAGCCTATGGTCTCTACAAAGGCTGTAGTTTTCTGCACATCACATTTTATAAACTGAATTACATATACACATAATTTAATTTTTAAACATATTTGAACTGGAAAGGTGCATTTTTCTACAAAGGGCAAAAGAGATATCTTTTTTCCTACTTGATACCATAAAGGGAAGTCTGTCAGAATGGAGATGGTACAGTTATCAGAGTTCATAAGACAATAATACTTGCAACAAATGGGATCTAAATAACTGTAAAATTGAGTGTCCTTTAAGAAATGGAAGCTGAAAAGTATATTCAAAAAATTTCAATCAAGCACAAGTAATCCACTTTCCTGAACTGCAAACACTTTCTCAAGTATATATAAGGGATCTGGTTCCGGTTTTGATGTAACCCTCAGAACTGTGAGGCCTCAGGGCCAGAGCCCCGTGGGAAAGGGTTGCCGCTAGCCTTGAAATAGTAGGCCCCTTTCCAAATTACGTGTGCAGAAGACTCACCTGGGAGCTTGTTAAGAATGCAGATTCTTTGGCCCCTCCCCCCAGAGACTGGTCCAATAAGTTCTGCTAAGGAATCCGTCTCTCCTCTTGTGCACTAAGGAAGGGTTTTGGTTTTTGCTCGTTACAGGTCGGTCTCTGGGATCCGTGGCTCTGCCGCACAGATGCCCATTTCAGCCTGCGGGCTGAAGGAGGAGCCCCAGTCAGGGCAGGCCAGGAAGCTGGACTTTCAACAAGGAATTCTGGTGATTCTGGACCACACCTTGAGCAATGCTGCCTTATGGAGTTCTAAAAGGCCAGTGTGTAGGAGTAAACGTTTCAGTTCCTGTCAGATGAATAACTTCACTGCACATCTAAGACCTCCAGAGAGAACAGCCTTTATTCTGCTAATTTCCTCGGGGGTTCACAGATTCTCCCTTATCATTTGATTACAAATTACATTATACTTGCAAATAATGCCTGCTATACTGTAACCGCTTAGAATCCTTTACTAATATGATTATAGTTCATATTTACTGAGCTCTTATATGTACCAGGCACTGTGCTAAGCACTTCACACTGATAAACTTCATTCTTTCACTATGATGTAGACAGGATTCCATGCGCCCTGGCCTGGTGCTGGCAGCAATGCCCTTGGATGACCTGGAAGAACTCAGCTGGTCACTGCTGAATCTTTAGGTCGCTGCTTAGCAGGCCCCAGTGACTTGCTCCAAGGAGCCCAAAGCAAGCTATTCTCCTAAAGTAACTGTACTCACCAATTTTTGAAGTGCTGCAAATATTTTCTCCCAAATCTGTCATTTGTGTTTTAAACTTGGTGGTTTCCATCATATGCAAACTTTCAATATATTTTTGGTGGTAAAATCTGTTTATCTTCTCCCTTATTATATCTTTTAGGTCTCATGTTGTTTAGAAAAGAACTTCCCACACCAAAGGTATAAAAATATCCTATATTTTCCTCAGTAATTCTGTAATTTTTTTGTTTTTTCTCTCTAGAGCTAATTTTTGTGGAAACTGTGAGGTAGAGAACTCTTACTTTGATAGGCAGTTATCTTAAAGTACTCTTTATTAAATAGTTCATCTTTTTCCCACTTAAAATACTCCTTGGGTCCTGTACAAAATCCCCTCACACCTGGGTCTGATGCTAGGCTCTCCCTTTGGGTCCAGCAGTCTGATCCCACTCCAGGTCACACTGACTGAACTCATGGTCAGTCGAGAGTCCCCTGGGAAATCTCGTAGGATAAGTGTCTTTTACCCACCTGAGCACCACCGCCCTGGACTCACCGTCATTCAGAATTTTCTTGGTATTCTCACACGTTTACTCTTCCAAATGAACGTTAGAACCCATTAAATTCCAAAAAGTATCCAATCTCACTGGAATACATTCAATTTATGAGCTGATCTGGAGAGAACCAGAATCTTTATAGAAACGTGATGTGCCTTGTTTGCTCTGTTAAGGTCTTCAGCTGATCCTGTTGGATTGTACAGTTCGGGCGTTCTGTAACCCTCCCTCATCTGCCATACTGCAGGGGTTTAGTAGTGCCAGAACACAGCTAAATAATAGTATGTCCTTGACTAATTTCTGACTTTACTGGGAATGCCGGTGGTATCTGACTCTTTAGAACGCCACTGACTGTTGGTTTCAGATAGAGACACCTTTATCTAGGTTAGGATGTTTCTTTGTAATCTTAACTTACTAAGAGTTTAATAAGGGATAGATTTTAAATTTTATCAAATATCGTTTCAGCATCTCTAGAGACTATCATAAATTTTTTTCTAATAATCGAAGCTGCAGTGAAGGCTAATGAGCAGCCACGGTGCCTCCTAATTTAGTGTACATCTCCCTAGTCCCCGCACCAGGAAGTGAATACTTCTGTGGAAGGATGAACAAGGCGAAGCTTCAGGGCTGACTGTAGGAATGATGACGAAAGCTTTCCCGAGTTGCCCACCAGAAGCTGAAGGCTTCACTTTCTTTCCAGGGAAAGGAAATATGCCCGATCAAACGCCCCCATGATGGGAAGCAGCTCTTCGGGACAGTGGTGTACAGAGTGCAGGAACCGGGCTTCCCTGGTGGCACAGTGGTTGAGAGTCCGCCTGCCGATGCAGGGGACACGGGTTCGTGCCCCGGTCCGGGAGGAACCCACATGCCGCAGAGCGGCTGGGCCCGTGGGCCATGGCCGCTGAGCCTGCGCGTCCGGAGCCTGTGCTCCGCAACGGGAGAGGCCACAACAGTGATGTGCCCGTGTAACGCAAAAAAAAAACAAAAACAGTAACAAAAACAGAGTGCAGGAACCAAAGAGGAGTCAAGTAGGGTGGCCTCTGCCACCATTCCACAAATCAACACACAGACCAAGTGCCCAGTCTGAGATGGGGTTTTGGTACCTGAAGTGTTCCATGAGCTCCGGTCATGACAGTCTTCATGAGTCCTTCCTGCCACACTGCAGCGCCTGGCCAGGGCGTGAGGGTCAGGGAGCACTAAGAGTGGAGCCGTCACAGAAAGCAGCAATTCCTGCTACTCCTCCACCCCACTGCTAACTCGCGGTCCCTGGCCCCCTCCTCCTGGCAGTGCTCTGCTCCTGCCTGTCACACCAGGACATGTAGCCCTTACACAACCACAGGACTCCCCGAGCCAGCTCTTGACTACTGTGACCCTGACGCTGGGCTATTACCCACTCAGGCTCCCCTGCTTCTCCTTCAACCCATTCAGGGGAAAGGATGGGTGCTTGAGCCTGCACCCAACTAGGTGGACATGCACAACCCAAAGCAGAGGCTGGCACCACCCACTCTGGCCAAGGGCCTTCTCTCCTACAACTCACTGGCGCCTGCCCTAACCACCCAACGCTGGGCTGTGGGTTGCCCCCGAACACAGAAGCAACGATAAAGAGAAAATGAGGGCAAAGTCCAGTCTGTCACAGTTCTGAGAGGTAGATCAGGACAGGAGACCCGGGGTGGCATGTCCAACCCGATCTTATGTGAAAAGGCCGTCTCTGTGGATGAACTTTCTCTTCAGGCCACAAGAAGCCCTAGCCCAGGCGGAGGCGATAGGTGGCGATCTCCATGGGCTCCAAATAGATGTCAGTGCTGTTGGAGGGCGAGGCCAGGGGGTACAGCAATGTCAAGGAGGTTGGCTGCAGGAAAACCACATCCAAGCCACGGAAGAGGCTCCCCAGGGCCACCTGTGGGAAGGAGAGAAGGCGCAGGGCAGTGCTGGGGGCTGACACACCAGATGCTGCTGCTCTTCCTCTATAATAACTTGTATGAATCTCACAGAAGCTATGGGCCTCTCCGCAGCAAGGTGCCTACATACACAGGTGAGCCTGCGCAACCTTGAAGCCTGTCCACAGACCTTAGGGTAGGAACTGCTGCACTGAGCTGTGAGCTCTTTGAGGAGAGGGACCATGTCTTTTTTTTTTTTTGGCTGTGCCATGTGGTTTATGGGATCCTAATTCCCCGACCAGGGATTGAACCTGGCCCAAGGCAGTGAAATCACTGAGTCCTAACCACTGGACCGCCAGGGAACTCCCAGCAGGGATCATGTCTTGATTCACTTCTTAATCACTGGTGCCCAGCACACGGAGGCATTTATCAGTGCCAGCCTTTGCTGGCTTAAACAATGAACAGAGTATGATGGCTTTTAGTTTTTAATTCCTGGTGTTTCCATTTGTTTGATAGAGGTCCGTACACACGAAACAGAAGTTCTCCACCTGGACACGTCTGGAACTGGCCCCTGCCAGGCCTCAGAGGCTTTGAAAACACATGTCAACAGCTTCTCCCTTGCTCTCCGTAAAGCCCCAGAATAACCCTGCCACCTCCCCCCTTGCTGCCCAGCCTCACTGCCGCCTCACCAAGCTCTTAGCTTGCCATCCCCAGTGCTCTGTTTCCCTGCCCTCCTCTCCCTTCCCGCACCTGGGCCCTGCTCACCTTGCCTTGGCTTGTGGTGCAGTTGAAGCCCAAGTTCTTGGCCTCGAGGCCACAGTCAAAACCCTTGCGGTGTAAGAGGAGCGCAGTTTCGGCTGAGGGCAAGCTATCATCCTGGTGACAGACCACAGGGCAGCGGGGAGAGGGGGGTCTCTGCAGGGCTCACAGTTGTAGCAGTGCCTCTGCCCGGCAGGCAGGGCTGGGACGGGGAGGAATCTGGGCGAGGAGGGCAGGGTCCGCCCCGAGGGTCAGCACTGAGCGGGACACTCACCTCTGCCTGGAGCGTCCGCAGGTTGAGCAGGTGGAAGTCACAGGGCAGAGAGGAGGCCAGAGGATGAAATGAGCACAGAGCAGGGCCTGGGGGCTGCCTCTTGGCCACAGGCAGGGCGAGCACAGGGGTGTTCAGGTACATGGAAGTCAGGTGACTGAGGAGGGACGGGTAGCTGGTAGAGGGGCCATCTTGGACCTGGAAGATTGGCCCGAGACGTGAGTGAGGAAGTGGAGTGGGGGGAGCAGGAGGGTAACAGCACGTCCAGGTCGGTTTCTTTGGAGAGAGCTTCCCTGATGTGTCTGGATACAAGGGGTGCCTCACTCCAGGACTCTTCAAATGCGGTCACTTCCCACCTCACACAGCTTAGGAAGGGCTACCTCACCAGGCCAGCGCTCCTCTAACTATGGAGGCTTTCTGCTCCCACAACACCATCGTGAGTCACACACTCCCATCAGCAACATCTCCTGTCACATAGAGATTCTCAGCGCAGCGAGAAGAAGGGAAGACAGACAGACGGATGCTTCACCATGGAGGATGCGCCTCTGATGGAGAAAGTCTCTGGGGCAACCCTGCAGCTTCAAGCTCGACCCCGTATCCACAGCACCAGCCCTGATGCTCGGGCCCGGCAGTCCCCACAGCTGTGCTGACTGAGGACTTCTCCTTAGATGGCTGACCTAGACGTCACACCCACGGGCCTAAGCTGGACTTTCCTCCACGGCGGCTACTCTTCCATATTCTGGATTTCTGCTCTTAGCATCACCCGCCTTCCTACTGTCCAGAATCTCGCACTTCCCTCAGCCACGATCTCCATTCCCACCTCGGCAGTGTCCTCACGTCCATCCCCGGCTTCTCCCTCCCATGGCTCATTTCAAGCCACCAAAATTTCCTGCTTGAACAGCCTTTAAGCTGTCACCCCTGCCTCAGGTCTCCCTGAAGATCCGCCTGAGTCCCTGCTGTGGGAGTGGCATGCTTAGGGCAAAGTCCCAACAGTGCTCTCCCAGCTCAGATCCCTCACTGGCCTCCAGGAGGAAGTCCAGACTCTTCGCCAGACATGAAGGCCCACTACAGTCTGCCCCAACCTACCCCCATGGCAGCCCAGCACTGGCCACTAGAACTTTCTGCAATCAGGGAAATATGCTATATCTGCACTAGCACAGCAGCTACTAACCACTTGTGGCCACTGAGCCACTTGAAGTGTGGCCAGTTTGAACGAAGAATCAAATTGGTTATTGTGTTTTGTCTTAATACGTTTAAGTGGCCACACGTGGCTAGTGGCTATCACACTGCACAGGCGGCTCTGGTCTAGCTGAGTGAACTCACGGCTCTTCCCATTCACGTTCCTTCCTGCCTCCCACCCTGTGCCTCGGTTCAAGTGTGTAGGGCAGACCCCCATTCATCAAAGATGTGTGTGGATGACATCTCCTCCAGGAAGCTGTCCTTGATCCCCTTGGCCCACTATGTTCTCTCACTCCTCAGGACCAGTGGACATACCCCTTTTCGACCTTATATTTTCACACACATAACTTGGCCCCCACCCATACTCACGAGTCAACTCCTAGAGCTCTGAGGCAGTATCTTATGCATTTGCGGCCCTCTCAGTCCTTACAGCATAGCGGGTGCCCAGCAGCTATTTGATGGTGAGTGACTGAGCCCCAGACAGGGAGATGGAGCAGCGGGCTCTGCCATCCGCCAGCTCCAACTCCAGCTCCAGCTACAAATAACTAACACTAGTTCAACACCCCATCGCTGGCCCTTACCTCTCGGTGCCCGCTCCTGCTGCTGTGAAAGATCAAGCCCCTAAACATGGCTGCCAGTTTGGAGAAAAAGCCAGGCTGGTGGGGGCAAAGAAAGCCATGAGATGAGCAGGGCAGGAGCAGAGCAGGTTAGAGGACACAGGGGCGGGGGTGGGAAGGTGGGAGATGAGCATGAGGTGGGCACAGGCGACAGGGTGCCGTGGAGAGGGAGGTGCCAGGCTGCATGAGATGGAGCAGCAAAGCATCAGACTCGCTTCCCCACCAACCCGGGAATCAGGCCCTACTCTTGCTACCCTTGCCCACCTCTAGTACGCTCCCCAAGCCCTAGGCTGGAACCCCAGGGCCACCCACGGGGCCTAGCCTGACCTGGCTCCCTAGGGGGAGGCCCAGAACTTACCTCCCTGCCCAGGGTTCGCCGTTCCAACAGGAGACGGAAACGGTTGCAGGTTCTCTTGTTGTCCTTGAGCCCTTGGCCCAGGCCTCGGTTGTCGTCCTGCATTAGTCGCCGGTCCAAGATCACCTCCAGCTGGCCTAGGGAAGTTAGCTGTGAGCCCCCAGCCTGCCTGTCTCACCCTCAAGCAGACACCGACCTCTGGAAGCAGCAGCCCACCAAAGCCCCAAGGGAAGAGCCCAGGGAACTGGCTGGAAGCTGAGTCACTCAGGGCACAAAGCCGCTGTGGAACCTAGAGCTGGAAGGGGCTGAGTGAAGGACTGTGACCCTGGCAGTTCACTGCCCATGCTCCGCAGCTCAGGAGTGGGGGTTGGCCCAGGTGCCCAGGCAGAGAACCGTCTCTAGGCTGGCCACATACAATAAAGTGAACAGCAAACACAACAGCCATCAGCAGCTGCTGCAGAAGCCCTGACCCAGGGCAGGTTTTCTCAGGTGGGGCGGATTTTGTTGTGACTGGAACACACGCTTCCGGCCCTGGTTCTACGTGGGGGCAGACTCCAGGTCTGCCTGCCGCGTCTGTCAAAAGGAGGGAGCAAGAGGACAGCCAGGTGGCATATCAGGCAGAGGCTCAGATTAGGTATTATTTGGGGTTGCCCTGCAGACGAGAGATGGCAGAGGATCCTTTGCTTTTTTTTTGGCTGCACTGCACATAGCATGTGGGATCGTAGTTCCCCCACCAGGAATTGAACCCACACCCCCTGCATTGGAAGTGTGGAGTCTTAACCACTGGACCTCCAGGGAAGTCCCCAACCTTTCCTTTCTTTTAAAAATATGTCTGAGGGGACATTCCTCATGGCACAGTGGTTAAGAATCTGCCTGCCAATGCAGGGGACATGGGTTTGAGCCCTGGTCCAGGAGGATCCCACAGGCTGTGGAACTACTGAGCCCGTGTGCCACAACTACTGAAACTGGTGTGCCTAGAGCCTGTGCTCTGCGAGAAGCCACCCAATAAGAAGCCCGTGCACCGCGACGAAGAGTAGCCCCCGCTCGCCGCAGCTAGAGAAAGTCCGCGTGTAGCAACGAAGATCCAACACAGCCAAATTAAAAAATAAAATAAAATAAAATAAAAATAAAAATATGCCTGGGGAAGGGGCTCACTCAAAGCTGACATATGTTGGAATGAGGATTTTTCCCAGCATCTGTTTTTTTTCAAGAATCTCTTGAGAGGAGCCCATACAGACGGCTCTATCTGCACTCCCATTACCCCAGCCCATATTCTGACTTAGGTAGTTCCTCAGTCTTTACCCTGAGCAACCACAAAAAGGCACACCAAATCCTAAAATGGACCCCTTGCATGTAAAACAATCGCCTGTTTGGGCTTCCCTGGTGGTGCAGTGGTTGAGAGTCCGCCTGCCGATGCAGGGGACACGGGTTCGTGCCCCGGTCTGGGAGGATCCCACATGCCCCGGAGCGACCAGGCCCGTGAGCCATGGCCGCTGAGCCTGCGCGTCCGGAGCCTGTGCTCCGCAACGGGAGAGGCCACAACAGTGAGAGGCCCACGTACCGCCAAAAAAAAAAAAAAAATAGGAAAAAAAAACCAATCGCCTGTTAGTGCACTGTTTTCCAGAAGGGCAGAGACCAAGGGAGGATGCTGGGCTGGGTTAAGAGTTTTACAACCAGAGTGATACTGGGCAAAGGGGCAGCAGAGCCTCATGCCTTCCAGCAGAGAGTCAGGTCCCCACTGTGCTTGCCACCGGCCCCTCAGAGCCTAGACTGGGCACTCTTGGCTCAGTCCTGCACAAAGGCTCTGCCCCAAGGACAGACGACCTGAGGCCTCAGAGGCCACTAAGTGCAAACTGTTCACTTTACCCTGAGGCTATGGGAGCCACCTGGGCTGGCCCAGTGTGACCAGCTCCAGGTCAGTCTCCTCATGTCCTCGTTTTGATTTTTTTTTAAATTTATTTATTTAATTTATGTTTGGCTGCATTGGGTGTTCATTGCTGCGCATGGGTTTTCTCTAGTTGCATCGAGTGGGGGCTACTCTTTGTTGCGGCGCGCAGGCTTCTCATTGCGGTGGCTTCTCTTGTTGGGAGCACGGGCTCCAGGCACGCGGGCTTCAGTAGCTGTGGCACACGGGCTTCAGTAGTTGCGGCTCACGGGCTCTAGAGCACAGGCTCAACAGTTGTGGCTCACGGGCTCTAGAGCACAGGCTCAGCAGTTGTGGCACACGGGCTTAGCTGCTCCGTGGCATGTGGGATCTTCCCAGACCAGGGCTCGAACCCGTGTCCCCTGCATTGGCAGGCAGATTCTTAACCACTGCACCAGCAGGGAAGCCCTCGTTTTGATTCTTAAGAATGTCATTCTCTCTTTTTGTCATTCTCTCTTTTAATGACCATTGGTAGGAAGTCAGGACGTATCTTTCTCCTTTGCTAAATATTTCATTATAACACTGACTACACTTTTCCAACTGTCCCTACTGCCATCCCTGTCAGGAGAAGGTGGCTGCACACCTCAGCTAAGAATCACCCTTCAATACCCTGATGCTTCTTGAGGGGATCCAACAGGCCACCCACCCCCAGTCACCTCCATAGCTGCCTCCACCAGGGGAGAGGGTGACAGCATGTGTCTGCCTTCCTTTCATCTCCCGCTGGTGTGTGACTGATGGACAGGAAATACGGAGAGGCCCACAAAGAGGACGGCCCTCGGTGGCGGGGATGGGCTTCTCGATCTTGCCCTCTCCCCCCGATCAGCGCCTGTTCCCCTCACCATCGTGGAGGCTGGAGACGCCCAGGGCCTGGGCAGCGTGCAGCGTGAGGCGGCTCTGTGCATCCTGGAGGCAGGCCATGACCGGCATGGGGTAGAAGTTGGCCTGCAGGGGCAGCTTCTTCCGATACCGCCGGGGCTGCACCTGCGGGGGCAAGGCCAGCAGATCAAGAGAATCCGGGCACCATTTGGGCCCCGATCAGTCTTGCCTCCGATTCCTCCTGCTCTGTCAGAGCAGATCACCTGCCAGGGCCTGTGATGCGGGCAGTAAACACAGTCCAAGTTCTGTTCCATGGGGTCTCTGGGGCCCCAGGCCTGAGGCATCACCTGAAAGCCATTGAGGTCCGTGAAGAAGGTGCCCTGGCTGTCAATGTCTGTGTGGAGGCGCAGGGCCAGCTCCTTGTTGACGCAGTCCCGGATGTCCACCAGGGATGACACGTCCAGAGACAGCCCCTCCACCCCTGGGCACAGGACAAAGGGAGAGGCTGAGCGGCGTGAGCCACAGCCTGAGAGACTGGGCTGGGAGAGGCTGTGTCCAAGCCCCAGGCAATTCCCAGCATTTCTGGCCAAGCTCTACTCCAAGAGAGTTAAGAATCATCCCCATCTCAAATGATACGTCTGTTGGGAACAGATGCATGAATAGACAACAGGCAGAAGGAAAAGCACATCACAGCCCACGGAGCCCACACCTCCTTCCCTACCTTCCTCGTCTGCAGGGCTCACCTGGCAGGTTATAAAGCCGGACTACCTGGTGAACGTGCTCATAGTAGGCCACCACCTCTGAGAAGAAAGGGCCTTCCGTGATGCGCAGCACGGGAGGGTCCTTGGGGACATAGGGCTGGGGAAAGAGCAGGTGGCCGCTGAACCCACGGCACAGAGAGCAAAGCAGGGAGATGCTGGCCCGCGGTCAGGCAGGAGGACTTGTTCCCAGCAGGCTCTGGGCTGAGACGCCTGGCCGAGCCGGGCCCAGGCTCCCAGGCAATGTTCCTCAGTCACCCACCCCCCGCAGGGGCAGTGCAGGCGAGGCACCCTGGCAGGCAGGGTAACCCTGGACGAAGGCCCAGGCCCTTCTTCCTGCCCTCCGCTCCTGAGGCCTCCAGGGCCTGCTGGGGTTTGCAAGGTGTCTCTAGTTACCTTGGCCTCGCCATCAGGCAGGAAGAGGTAGGCTCCACTCTTGTCTTTGGACGAGCGGGTGCCATAGATGAGGAACTCCATGCCCACCCGCTGCTCCTGCTCCTCGTCCACCCTTCGGATGCTCTGCCGAGAGACACAGCCCTGACCCCTGGCCCCACACCCGCGTGTCAGGCCCGCCCCCGGGAGGGAGCCCAGCCCTGCTTCCCTGTGCTGTCAGCTCGGGGCCAGGACGGCCCACTCCCGGGTCCACCATGAGTCAGGTGGCAGTGCACTCATGGGCCGGAGGCAGCTTGCACGACCCCCCCGACATGCGCGCCCTCCTCCGGCTCCCAGCCCCTGGCCCTTTACCTTGAGGAGCCCGGTGAGGCCTGAGAACCAGACCTGCATATAGCGGTTGCTGAGGGCGAAGTCGCTGGTGCCAGAGTCAATGATGCGTAGAGGGAACGCCTCGTGCCTGCTGACGGACAGCTGCCGCCCATGCAGGTAGACACGCACGGAGGAGGGCAGGGTGCGGGGCCCGTCCAGACCCAGCTGCAGCTGCAGCACGCCCAGGCCCAGCGCCGGCAGGCGGACGGGCACAGACACCTGCGGGCACGGGAAGGGTGAGGAAGCGTGGGCCACGGCATGGGTGTCGGTCTTGGATGCAGGCCTGGGCCCTGAGAGCCTGAGCAAGTCCCTGCACCCACTGGGGCCTCGGTGCCCTCTGCCCAAAGCATAGGTGATGTTACTTGCCCCTCGTCAGACTTTCATGTGTCTCAAATGATATTTGGAAAACTATGAGATGGTACACACACGTTAAGCTTTCAATAAATATTTGTTGAATGAACAAACGATGGGGCAGCATAACTGCCATTTTTACTATTGTCATACTATACCAAACTTCCCCTTCCTTTCAAGGACAGACTCAAAGCCCAGGAGTGACTGTCCTCTGGGCAACCCCTCTCCCCAAGACTCTGGTCCCCAACCTGGGGAGTAAGAGGGCTGCAAGCAGGAGGGTGGGAAGCCAGTGTCTGTAGGCAGTGTGAGGCTCCGGGGAGAGGCCAAGGATCAGCACAGAGGGCCGAGGCCGGGCCCCACCTGCCAAGCCCCCGCCTCACCTGGTAGACGTCAGGGACCATGTCAGTGGCAGAGCTCCAATGCGCGCTGACCTGCACAGCCAGGGGCTGACCCTCCTCTGTAAGGACCCGCACCCGGGGTGAGCTGACCAGAAGGGACACCACGCTGAGCCGCTCCTGCTCCAGTGGGTTGAACAGCACCACGTACCTGTGAGCAGAAAGTAGGCTCACCCAGGAGGCCACTGCTCTGGGGCAGTGGAAGCAGGAACAGTGGCCAGGCCAAGAATCCCTCAGTGGTTCGGCAGGGTCGGGGTGGGAGGGTGCCCAGAGCCAGGAAGGGGCTTTGCCTCTGCGCCTGGCCCAGCCCGGCTCACCTGGGTGAGGAATCCAGCTGGATCACTGTGCGATCTGGTAGGGCATCGTGATTTAAGCGGGTGTCATCCTGGAATGAAGTGGGTGGGAAGAAAGAACTATCATGGGGCTTGGCCTGACTCGGAGTCTTGCCTCCCCCAGCCCCCAAACGTGTCCCAGATGGGGACCAGCAGCTGCGCCAGGCACAGAGCTTTCACTCCAGGACCGGGAAGGAAAAGAAGGACAACGCCCTCGCACCACAGTTCTTGGCACAGGACTGCACACCAGAGGGTCACCCTGAGCAGGTGCAGGATCGGGGCTCACCATTTGCAGGAAGGGCGACTCAGGGTCAAAGTGGTAGCTTTTCTTGTCCCCCAGCACCAGATAGTGAGCTGCGTTAATGATGACCTGCTTCAGGTTGACAAGGGAGCGCAGAAGCCTGGGAGGGCGGGCAGGAGAGGGACCATGGGAGAGGTGGCCACCGAGATACTGTCCACCTGCCAACAGGGCGAGTCCTTGGCAGGCCTGCCCACTGACTGCCCGGTGCATCCTCCCTTTTGGGACAGCGGGTCAAGGCGTGGAGCTAATGGGGAAGAGGAGAGGGCTCCCACCTGATCCCATAGTCCACAACAACTGCCTCCTTGGCAGTGCCAGTGATAGCGTCGTGGTGCTGGAAGAGTCCCAGTGTGCGCCGAGCTTCTGTCAGAAGGGCGAAGTTTGAGAGCGGGTACTGGCTGGCCACTCCAGAGCGCCGGGCATGAGCCACAGCCAGGCTGTACAGAATCTCTGCCCCCCTGCCCAGAGAGAGAAGTCAGCCTCCTGCCATACAGCTCCCCAGAGCCCACCCTCACTCTGCAAGGCCCACTCCTCTTCCTTTCACCCCTTCTCCACTTGTCTTGGTCTCCATGCCCTTCTAGTCCCTTCTGAGCCAATCCAGCCCCTCCTTAAATCTCAAAGTCTTACTCTATCCCTCCAGCCTGGAAGGGGGGGCAGGTCTCACCGCAGGTGCGCTTCCAGGACGCGGTCCAAGCTCTTGTAGAAAGGCCGCGAAGTGTAATAGCCTGTCCAGTAATGGTCCTCCCGGTCCGCGTAGGAGAAGAAATCCCCGCTCAGCACAGGAAACCCTGGAGGCTGGGCCCCTGGCTCCACCCCTGTCCTCTTGTATAGAGCATCAAAATAGTCGGAGAGGGTGCCAAACTGGGCCTGTGGGGACCCCCAAAACCCGCTTCCATCAGTTCCAGAGTCTTCTGGGAATTGTGGCCCCCCAGTGCTGCAGTGGAGGCTAGGGGCAGGGATGTTTGCCTATGCAGAGAGTAGTCACCATATGTCCTACCTTCTGGACCTCGAGAAGCTGAGGAACCTGGGAAAGAACTGTGACATAAAAGGGAAACCGTGCCCAGAGTTGGGAATGAACCCCTGCTTTGGAGCAGTACTGGGGAGCATGAAACCTCACAGGAAGGGCTGGGCTGCAGCACCACCGAGGCCCCCTCCCCGGTGAGTGTCCCTTCACACCTGCACGTGGAGATCAGGCTTGCTGTTAAGGAAGTCGAAGAGCCGCTGGTAGTTGAAGAACTGGGCATCCCACTCCTGAGGCTTGTCATATCGGAAGTCATCACCCAGCGGCACCAGAAGGACGTTGCTTCGGAAGAG